TCCTTCAGCACTGGGCCGGGGCCCCTCCTCCCAGCTCCCCACCTTTGCTGCCGTCAACGATCGCTGGCTGGCTCCGCCCTGGCCCTGGCCTAAAGCCTCAAGCCGAGGCTTTAGGCCTGGACCTGGGCACCACCAGCTCCCCGCCACCCATCGCTGGCTCTGCCCCGGTTCCCGCCAAAGCCGCCATCAACGATCGCTGGTTGGCTCCGCCCCAGTCCAAGCCTAAAGCCTCTGGCTGAGGAGTTAAGCCTGGGCCAGACCCTCCTCATGCTCCCCACCATCAACGATCTCTGGCTGGCTCCTCCCTGACCCAGGCCTAACGCCTCAGGCTGAGGGTTTAGGCCTGGGCCGGGGCACCCCCAGCTCCCCACCACCAATCGCTGGCTGGCTCCGCCCTGGTTCCCCGCTGCAACTGCCATCAAGGATCCCTGGCTGGCTGGACCCCCAGCTCCCTGCCGCTGCCGCCATCAAGCATAGCTGGCTGGCTCCGCCTGGTTCCCTGCCGCTGCTGCCATCAATGATCGCTGGATGGCTCCGCCCAGGCCCCAGCCTAAAGCTTCAGTCTGAGGCTTGGGGCTGACATATGCAAATTTGCCGCCATCTTGGCTGTCGACTAATTTGCATATCTCACTGATTAGCCAATGAAAAGGGTAGTCGTGGGCCAATTACCATCTTTCTCTTTTATTATATGGGATGTGAAACAGTGTGTGAGATGGACAACTGAGGATAAAATGGAGACATATACTAAATGCCTAGGCGAGTGGTTCCCAAATTCTATGTGTGAATACACATTAGCCAAAGATGATTTTCTTTAATGGCCTACAGCAAAATGAGACAAATAAAATGTTTATAAAAGTTAATTCCTTTATATCGGTCTCAAAATTTTACTTTATTTCACCATTATATTTTGTAGACCTGTGAAATTCAAAAGGGTACGGACCACAAGCCAAAACTGATTTGGGCAAAAAAAAATAAAATAAAAATAAATGAGTGTAAGAAAAAGAAAAAAGAAGTTGGCAACTGAAAGGAAACAAAGATGAAACATCTCATGGAGATATTACAGAAAAAAGGGGAATATTCAAGGGGCAGCTAGTTTAGAAGACTACAGTATATTAAAGTATTAATATTCAGTATTAAAGAGAGTATGTGATTTTAAAAAGTTGCTCAGCATAGGGTTGCAAGAACAAGAATGAATTTCGAGTATTTGAAACACACACACCAACTGAAGAAAAATAAAAAATGTGAAATGCAACTCTATCTTTCTTCAATCCTTAAATATGTATTTCAGGCCAGTGAAAACTAATATGTGTGATCAGGAGGTCATGGTTTGATTCCCGGTCAGGGAAGAAATCAAGGTATCTTGAAACAAATGAAAATGAGAACACAACCCAAAATCTATGGGACAATGGAAGCAGCCTTAAGAGAGGTATTTATAGTATTTCAGGCCTACCTTAAGAAACAAGAAAAATCTCTAACAACCTAATTTTATACTTAAAGGAATAGAAAAATAACAACAAAGCCCAAAGTGAGAAGAAAAAATAATAAAGATCAAGTCGGACATGAACAAAATAGAGTTTAAAAAAGAACAAACAAAAGATTAATGAAACCAAGAGCTCATTTTTTGAAAAGACAAACAAGACTGACAAACCTTTAACTAGACTCATCAAGAAAGAAGAGGACCCAAATAAATAAAATCAGAAATGAAAGGACAAGTAACAACTTACAACACAAAGGATTGTAAGAAAATGTTACAAACAACTGTATGCAACAAATAAGACAGTCAGGATGAAATAGATAAATTCTTAGAAGAATACAATCTTCCAAAACTGAATCCAGAATAATCAGAAATCTGAATAGAGAGAGATTACAACTAATGAAAGTGAAACAGTAATCCAAACCCCACACCTGCCAGAATGGCTACCATCAATCAACAAACAACAAGTGTTGACGAGGATGTGGAGAAAAGGGAACCCTTGTGCACTGCTGGTGGTAACGCAGACTGGTGCAGCCACTGTGTAAAAATAATATGGAGTTACCTCAAAAAAATAAAAATGGAACTTTTATACCCAGCAATTTCACTTCTGGGAATGTATCTGAAGAAACCCGAAACACTAACGTGAAAAAATATATGCACCCCTATGGTTCACTGAAGCGTCAATAAGCCAGTGTGAGAAAGACAAGTACCATATGACTTCATTTGTATGTGGAATCTAATTAACAAAATAAACTACCAAACAAAACAGAAACAGAATCAGAGACAGATATCAAAATGATAGCTGTCAGAGGGGAGGGGAGTTGCGATGCTGGGTGAAAAGAGTAAAGGGATTAAGCGAAGAAAAAAACAAACTCATAGGCACAGACAACAGTGTGACAATTATGAGAGGGAAAGGGGGATGATTGGAGACAGAACAGAGTAAAAGGGGCATAAAATGTGATGGAAGAAGACTTGATTTGGGGTGGTGAAAACACAATACAATATATAGATGATGTTTTATAGAACTGTATACCTGAAACCTATATAATTTTATTAATAAATGTCACCCCAATAAATTCATTTAAAAAAGAATTATCTGAACATTTTTGGTATTTTGTTTTGTTTTGTTTTTTAAGTAACAAGTTGAAAAATCAGCCTACCACTGCTTGTTTCTGAAAATTTTCTGGAGAAGAGAAAGATCTCTGAATTATCTGTGGTGATGGAGTCATGTTATCCACAGTCCTTTCATGTCTGCAAAAAATAAGAAAACAACATATAATCATTCATTCAAACAAGAATTTACTACATACCAATCATGAGCAGACACAGCTCTCGAAGGAATGAACAAGACAAGGTTATTTGCTCTCATGTAGCTGGGGTAAGGATTCAGACAATAAGACAGCTTCACATAGTTGTAAGTGATATGCTGAATGACTAAAGAGAAAGTAGAGGTGAGAGAGAGAGGATTCTATTTTTGCTTATCTTGTCAGGGCATCTGAAGTGAGAGCTGAATAACAAGGTTACCTGGGAGAAAAACATTCCAGCTGAGGGAAGGAGTAGTAAGGTGTCAGCAAACTATAGCCCATGACCAAATCATTTTTTGCAAACAGTTTTATTAGAACATAACCATGCTCTTTTGTTTTTGTATTATCTACGTAATGCTATAATGGCAGAGCAAGTAACTGTATGACCTGCAAAGTCTAAAATATTAACTATCTGCTCCTTTATAGAAGAAAAGAATTATCAATCCCTGGATTAGTGGAAAGGCCTAGATCAGTGGTCGGCAAACTCATTAGTCAACAGAGCCAAATATCAACAGTACTTCTTTAAAATCGACTCGCCCAGGCCGAAAACCGATTTCTGCGCACGGGCCACGAAGTTTCAATCACACTGTACGCGCGCCCGCACGTGGTATTTTGTGGAAGAGCCACACTCAAGAGTCCAAAGAGTCACATGTGGCTCACGAGCTGCAGTTTGCCTGCCACGGGCCTAGATGAAGAACTAAAATGTAAAAGATCTGATGGTGCCCTGGCCAGTGTGGGTTGGTGGTTAGAACACCAGCCTGCAAACTGAAAGGTGTGGTTTAATCCCCAACACTGGTCAGGGTGCGTGTTGTAGGCAACCAATTGATGTTTCTCTCTACATTGATGTTTCTCTCTCTCTCCCCTCACCCCTGCAATGCAAAAAGAAATCCTCAGGTAAGGATTAACAACAACAACAAAAGAAACAGGTTTGATCAATTAGATATGACAGATGAGGGAAACAGAAGAAAATAAAATCTAGATATTTAAGCAATTAAGTAGACAGACTGAGACAGAAGAGAGCAACAGGTTTTGGGGAGTAAGAATTTTAAGGGCTTATACTTTATCCCTCACTTCCTGAAGAAATAACTTGCTCTACAGAAAATCTTACTTAGATTAACTGTATTTTAAAACATGTCTTTGGAATCAAACCACCAACTTATTTGTCTTATAGTTTAGATCTTTTTGAGTTTTCTTAAATCAGTTATATATCTGTATGCTAAGTGGGCGAAGTGTATAATTTTATTTATAACAATTTAAAAATAATGTACACTCTAGCCTTTGATGAAAAGTAAAGTACTTACATATCTCTCCACCCCCCACCCCCCCCAAAAAAAATTCTGAGGAGGATAAAAGCTCTTTTTTTCTCCACCTAAAATACGTTTGAAGGTTCTAAAAGTGGGCAGAGATGTTTTGAATTCCAACTGTATTGAGAAGTATCTAAAGACAACTTCAGCAGGCAAGAAAGGACACAAAGAGGGTACCTTTTTTACACTGCTATTTTCTTACAAGTTCCTCTTCCAATATCTTTTCATATCTATCCATTTCTCTCCAGCTCTTGACACTACTCAAATCCAAACCAACCTCGCCCCAAGAACTTCCCTATCTTGCTACCAATAGCTTTTTAATTGGTCTATTTTCACCCCTGTCCCTCCAATCCATTTTCCCATTGCAACCAAACAACTCTTTAAAATAGAAATCTAAAATAAAATTAAAAAACCTATTCCTATTACTATCCTACAAAAAACATTTCAACGTCTTCCTATGGTTTTTAAGGTAAAAATCACAAAATTCAAAATTATAGGTTATAAGGAAGACTGTATCATCGAGCCTCTATGTACTTCTCCAATATCATCTACTCTCCATTTTTCACTCATTAGATCTCAGTACATTGTCCTCTTTCAGGTCCTCAGTCATTTATATCATCTTCCCTTGTTACAACTTTCTCCAAGCACTTTCTACTCCTTTTTAAAAAAATATATATTTTATTGATTTTTTACAGAGAGGAAGGGAGAGGGATAGAGAGTTAGAAATATCGATGAGAGAGAAACATCGATCAGCTGCCTCCTGCACACCCCACACTAGGGATGTGCCCGCAACCAAGGTACATTCCTTGACTGGAACCTGGGACCTTTCAGTCCGCAGGCCGACACTATCCACTGAGCCAAACCAGACAGGGCTCTACTCCTTTTTTTAGAGAACTAATTGTGAGTAATTACATGGATAGTCACAAAATACACATATTATGTGTCTTCATCTAGACTTTAGCTCCACTAGGCAGCACATCATAGTGGCTGGGCTTGATCATACTGCCTGGGTTTGACTCCTAGCCCACAACTTAAGAGCAGTTCAGACTTAAACAAGTTAACCTCCAATCCTCATTTTCTTCATATACAAGGAAGAGATAATAAAAATCCCGACCTCATAAAACTACTGTGAAACATAAAGGAGATAATAAATGCAAAAAACTTGGTAAATAATATGACACATGACAGGTATTTGTTAACTCTTTCTTGAATAAAGCCCATATGATTGATGAATAGCTCTATGGATATACCAGTGAAAAAAACTGTCCCTGGTAAAATTTCTGCCTCCCCAAAGCAAATAAAATTATTTAAGTAAATATAAATATGATACCTTTCCTAACCCCCAGGAGCTGGAAGGCATTTTAGAGATCATTTAATTCAACTTCTTTTCCTTACAAATGGAAGGATAGGAGCAGAGAAATGAGCCTGGTCAAGATTACACAATTCGTAAAGGCAGACCTAGAATCCAACTCCATGAACTCTTAGTCCCATAGCCTATTTACTGACACGTATTTTTAAACTGCAAGTAACCAATTAGTGGTATAAACTAATTTAAATTTTAAAAGATAAAGTAAAATGTAAATTGAGTACATCGCAAGTAGTAAGTGTAAGTAATATTTTGAGAAGTTTTGTTATATAGATGTATATTTGAGTGTGGGTATGTCTTTACAAGGGAACATAAATATAGTTATATATATTTATATATATGTATCTGTTTTAAGGATATTATATATAATATATATATCTACAGTCCCCTTAGAATATATAAATAACTATAATCCAACATAGCAAATGATATAGCACAATAAAGAGATAGGAACATTAAAAAGAAAACCAAACATGCATTCTGAGATCACGACCTAAGAAAATTCCTGATAAAGGCTTTAACAATAGGTGAGAAATATTACCTGTTAGGAGATGTGGAGGTAGGGCTTGAATTTCCAACATGATGCTGGGAATATGACAAACTAACATCCTGTGAGGCATGGCTACTTCCTAAAATAAAATAATTTGAGAAATTCTTCTTGATAGAAAATTTAGTTGGAATTTTTGTCTCTCCCACCCCAAATCACTCCAAAAAGGTAGACATAAGCTAAAAGCCTCAAATTTTAACAGAGTGCTTTAGTTTCATCCGAGTGAAAATTCTAAATGTTCATTAGCAGACATATCCAAAACAAACGGTCCCAAATGAGGGAATATCTGGTGTATAAATATCCACTCTGGGTATTCTCTATCATAATATTCTGATCCTCACACTAAATTGTAAGACTGGACACATGCAAAGTTTCATTCCCACATGATCAAGAATCAAAACTTATAAAAGTAAATTACAAAGCAACCAGGAAAAGTATTTTCACCTGGCGGGTGTGCTCTGTGGTTTGAGTGTCGCCCATGCGGCAATGGGTCAAGGACGTGGACCCGGGTTCGATTCCTGAGCTGCTACTGGGGCTTGGTAGAGAGGCAACCAATGGATGTGTCTCTCACATGGCTGTTTTTCTCCTCCCCGCCCCCCCACCTTCCTTCCTTCCACTCTCTCTCTGAAAAGCATTGGAAAAAATATCCTCTTGTGAGGATTAACAACAAAAAAGCATTTCAGAAAATAATTCTTGTTTCTTTCAGAGCATGGACCCAAGACCCAAGTCTTTCTAACAATAAAGTTTATGTTCTGTTAACGAACCCAAGCTGAAATTTTAAACTAAGTTCTTAAATTACAACTTTCAAAATCCATGTTGTCAGTGTTACCCACAAAGCTTAAAGTATTTTCATCCATAAACGTTTTTTAAAACTGAATAAAATTAAAAACAAAAAGGCAAAGCAGCAAATAATCCCTCTCCCCAAACAACACCGATTTAAATATCTTCGTGCTGCAACTGAATAGTGAGTTACCTGATCTAAACTGAATTTTGATGGGCCTTCCAAAAAGTTTTATTCCATTAAGTAGATTCATTGCATAAGGAACAGACACTTCATGTTTGAAATTCACAAATGCAAACTGCTTGGGTTTACCATCCTTATCTTTTGGAATTTTCACTTTTATTACTGGCCCGCCCTATAGACAAAAAAAGAGTTTACAACTTAAATAACGCAATTTCCAGGAGAATACTTAAATGTTACAAGATTAAAAGCAAAAGAAATGCAACCAGGAACTCTTAACAGATACCCACAGATCTCCGTCTCGATTGGAATAAAGCTCCTACAGATACATTACCGAAGATTAATTTATTTGGGGTGGGGAGCCCTTGAGGAACTAGCGACAGGATCACTGAATTTACATTTCTCAGCACTTTTCCACTGTAAGGAGGTGACCGACAACCAGCGGCGTCCCCTCTGCGGAAATCAGTGTTTACCACCGGCAGTTTCTTTGGACGGAAGTTCAGCTTCATCAAACTTACAGCGGCCGGAGGGAACAGGCTCCTGCACATTTTTAACACTTTTTAATACACAAACACCACAATGCTACTTTCCCAGGGAGCACTTATGCCTCTACTTTACATATCTTAATGCCGCAATTTTATAAGAAACCGAGTGGAAAAGACAGACTGACAAGGAAACTGAAGTGTAATTTGCCAGACAAACCAAAGAGTGTCTTAGGGGGAAGACGAGAAAAGGGGGGACAGGAAAAACACTGTTCTCTATGAATGTCTAATCACGGTGCTGTACACCTCCAACTAATATAGTATTGTTTGTCAACTGTGATTTAAAAACTAATTAAAAAAACAACACTGCTCCAGAGAGAACCCATGTGTATTATTACCTCTCTGAGACCCCCAAGCGTTGGCCCCGGAAACGCGTTAGTGAGGGTCCTTCCACCACCTTCAGGCCTCACTCCCGCGAGAACTAACGAGGGTTCCCTCAATGCGGGACGCCCGCCGACGCCGCAGGAGGCCCAGGCCCTCCCGGCCCACCGGTAGGGTGCCCGGCCTACCGGTAGGGTGCTCGCCCCGACAGCCCAGCTGGCGCGAAAGAAACGGGGGCCGGCCCTACGCCAGCGGAAAACGGAAGAAGGCCGGTCCCGGCCGCTTACCTGGTGGAAAAGCTCGAAAAGGAGCTCCTCAGTCACTTTGGTTTCTAGGTTGCCCACAAAGAGAGTGCAGTCCGCCTCCGCCGCCCCCATCTCGACGTCGCCCCCTCCCGTGCGAGGCCGAGGGGTCGTCACCGACGCTCCCACTGCGCACGCTCCAAAGCCCACGTCCTCGCGCAACCAGGCGTCGCCCACG